ATGAAACATAGGAACTTTAATTTCACTATGTTTTCAATTAACTCTTCACCACCAGAGGCTCACAGCCCTGGGGTGGAAAAAAAAGAACTGATGAAAAATACAAAATACTATGAAAATGTAATAATAGAAAAAAGATCACAATACTGCGGAAGTATGCTGGAGACACACTTAACTATTTCTGAACATAATCGGCACAGTTTTAAGCTGTATCTTGAAGGAAAAGTAGAGTTTTGCCAATTTGCAAAGATGTGGACAGATGTTCCACACCAAAGAATCAGCATATATAGAAGTATAAATATGGGATGTGAGCGTCTATATTGAATTTCAGAATATTTTAGTAGTTTAGTCTATCTAGACACAAATTGGAAGCTGGACAATGATATTATTTGAGGCTCAAGAAAAATGAAGACTTCAGATAATAGAGGACTTTATTATATTCTAGAATTTTGATTTTAGTGCTTTATTATTTGTATGAACTAACGGTTTTAAGCTAGAGCAGGAGCTAAGGTACTGAGGGATGAGGTACACAAGGGACTCATCTGGGAACGTTTAACACATTGAACTTAGTAATTTTCTCCTTTCATAAAAAGCAAAACAAAACTGTCTTTATAATACTCTAGCACATAATTAAATTATGTAATATAATTACCAGAAAACCCTCCACAGTAATTATGTAAATCATTGAAATGTGAACTGTAAGTAAAACAAATAAGAAATGGTCAATCTGTTTGAAAAGATTATTCTCTCCATCCTGTCCATTATTATCAGTTTTCTTCCTTTATTACTGGCATGGTAATCTGTGGACTCCGGTTCTTTGCTGTGGGGATTCAGTAGTTCCCCCCTAGGCCACAGTTTCACTTTCCATGGTCTGTTTCCCATATTCAACTGTGGTCAGAAAACATTAAGTGAAAAATTTCAGAAGTAAACAATTCATAAGTTTTAAATTGCCTGCCCTTCTGAGTAGCATGATGAAATCATGTGCTGGCCTATTCCATTCCACCGGGAATATGAATCATCCCTTTGTCAAGAGTATCCATGTTGTATATGCTACCTCCCTGTCAGTCACTCGGAAGCTGTCTTAGTTATTAGATCAAAACAAACACAGTATATATATAAGGTTTTGTATTATTGCAGGTTTCAGGCAGTGGATGGGAGTCTTAGAATGTATTCCCTGTAGATATGGGGGGGGGGCTACCGTTTACAGTTTTCTGTTTTGGGAGAAGTTTTCTGAATGTGTTAATTTTAATGTTCTCAAGAACCAAGATGGATATAAATTGACTTGGTGTGTTTCTAACTAACTTATCTGGATAAGATGCCCACAAAAAGTGAACTTACTCTTTCAGGTGGATCCAAAAAACACTCACATTTTCATCCCAACATAATTTCTTCCTTTGTTCTTCAAAACCCCTTACCCCTAAGTCTGGTCATTCTTTGGAAACTGCAAGAAGAGAAAATGGTATAGTGCTTAAAATGTCCCCTTTAAATAAAGTCAGTAAGTTGTGTCCCTTTTCTCTGGGATTTCATTTGGAGCTCATTTCCTTATTAACAAAAGTATGCCTCTAGACTTCTTTTTTAGCTAAAATATTGTGGCATTGAAGCCAAGCTCATGAGCTGAATCAGGGCTTTGCTCATTTAACTTTTTTAAATGTCCTTGTTTAATGCCACTTTTTAAAAATGTAAATGTTTTGTTCAGCGAATAATTTACCATTTCATACCATCTTAGAACTACTAACTGCAAACAGATTCTATTAATAAAGTTGTTAACTTAGAGAACAAAAACTAGCCAACTATATGGTGCTAAAAGTAACAGCAGTCACATGGGCACATGTGGGAGAATTTTGACCTTGTAGAACTTTTCTAACAATTGCCAAATTGCCCTTTATTATCCCAGTTCATTTGGAATTCTGAGTTATAAAGGTAATTTGGTAATCTTGTTGCATCCTACTGTTTATAGATAGGATGCACAACTGGACGCAAATAACTCCCAGAGATGCTAAGAATCAATATCTTACTTATAATGGATTTAGTAGTTCTTGGGTACTGAAAAGGATGGTTTTGTTTTTTTATCAAATTCCCAGAAAAGTTAAATAATAAAAAAGTCATGCCAAATATGGGCAGAGGGCAGTATCTTTGTATAAATGTAAATAACTGAATTTAAATGTTTAAATAGGTTTAAATTTGAACTAAACATGGAATGAGCTATAAAAAAAAAAAAAAAAACCTTAAGATTATTTTCTTCAATCATTTCTCCATCCTTAGGAAGATTGTTGGAAAAAATACATAGCAGTGTGTCTGGAGGCCTGCTGAATCCTTTCTTCTTTCTCACAGGCATAAAACCACATTTCCTTACCTTATTTGCTGGGTAAGCCGTGTGACTAAATGTTGGCCAATAAAATGTGGGATTAAATTCTCTGCACCATTTCCTGGCCAGGCTTAACCTTCTCCCCTTATAGATGAGAAAATATCCAGGGAATCTTTAAGAACAATATGCTAATAATTATAGAAACACAGATAAAAGGAACCTAAGCTCCTGAATCCCAGCTTGGAGGAGAGCTGCCAGCCTGGGAACACCCTCAATGAATTCTTATGTGAGCAAGAAATTTAGGGGTTACTTTATTATATTAGCTACTACTGTTTCAACTTATATTAGTTGTTCAACATTTTATTGGTTTGAAACAACTAATCATATAATATATTAACCATATTAAACATCTTTCTCATTTATGTTGCAATGTTTCATAGTTTTGAGATTTTTGAAACAGTATACGTGGTAAAATACTTTTATTGTTGTATGCTATTTTATTTTTATATGTTCAATTGCTAGCTTTGGCAATATGCCTTTGCCGTTTCAGATTGCATTGAAGGCCAACATACTTGCCTTCCTTTACAGAAAAAAAATTAAGTATAGAATGGTTTCTGAAAACTTCACATGCCTCTTTCCCTCTCTAATGTTTTCAGATTTATTTACCGCCTCTACTGGTATGCACGTACTCCCAGAAATGTTAAACAATGTTATTAATCCTTGGTTATCAGGATGATCCCTTCTGTTGGGATTACCCCAAGTGGAAAAACTTCTCTTACCTGCAATCAAATTTGGGGGAGACACAAAATGATAGTGCAAGATTAGTGTTCTTTGTGAGGTGTGGGGAGAAGGTCATGAATTGAAATGAAAAGCAGTAATCTAAGATAAGTAGCATTGCGAGCTAAGGTACACATGGATTTTACATCTCAGGAATGTCTTCATTCCATTATTGATCTTCGAATTCCTTAGGAAAAATTAGTTTTCAACAAATAACCAGGTGTTAAACAGAGACTTTAAAGATAAAATATTCATTTATCTTAAAATTTTAAACTCAATTATTGGCCCACACCTCTCCCTTCCCCTGCGACCCAGTTGGCTTATTTTTATTGGAATGGCCACTAAATTTTTAAATCTCAGGATAATCAGAATAGTTAGAGTAGTTTAGGCCACTATAAAAGGAAATCCCCAAATTTCAATGGTTTAAAGAGCAACAACCAAAAAAGTGTATTTTTGCTCACATGACAATCTAAGGTATGTGTTTCAGGTTGGCCATAATTCTTCTCCAGGCAGTTCTCTGTGTAGCTATTCAGGGACCTGGGCCAGCTCAGAATCTACCATCTTCCAACATTCTGTTTCAAAATAACTCCAATCATTCTGTTTCCATTTCAGTAAGTGGAAAAGGGGAAATGGCAGAAATCAACATCTAGATATTTCCTTAACCAAGTGACATGGGAATTGTAAATTTTACTTCAGCTTACATTTCATCTTGAAAATCCAGACACATGCCCACACTTAGCTATAACAGGACAGAGGAATGCTGTTCCTTGATTGGCAACAATGTCCTAGTTACACCTCGATTATTTAGTAAAAACAGAAAATGGTGTTGGTGAAGAGCTAGCACATTAAACACATAATTTTAGAAAAGTTATAAATTTTAATCACTGTAGTGATTTTAAAATGACTGATTTCAATTAAGAATGCATAATTGGGTACATAAAATGATATAGAGTAGAAACATTTATATTTTAAATATGTATTGGTAAAAT